CCTTAGAGGAGGAGGGCGGCTGTTCCCGCTGGCTGTGTCCTGTCGGGGGCAGTCTGCCGGAGGGAGGGCCTGTGGAGGAAGGTGAAAACAGTGACTTTGGTTGATGGTCCAGCCCCTGGGACCTCTGAATGACTAAGGTGCATGGGGACACTGTGCACAGAGGTGTTGAATGAGTGGGAAGTCGAGCTGAGTGGATTTCCTGAAACTCTTAGTCAGTGGTTCTAGGAAAGAAGTTGGCAAGTTCAAAAGGTTTGACAGGGATGGTTTCAGGCAGGGATAAGATACTTGTTGGTAGAAAGGAAAATGTAAAGAGAGTGCATGGCCCTCGGTGGGGCCATGTCTCAGCCTGTTCAGGTTTCCCTCTGACATTCAGCCCACTGTTTCCAGCGCTCCGCTGCCAAAGACCGGCCTTCCTCGCCAGGGCTCCCAGCGAGCGGCGGCTCCTCCGGCCCCAGCGGAGTCAAGGCGCCAGAGGCTGTGGTTCTCTGGCCGTGCAAACCAGAAACAGTCCCTGCTCCCCGCAACCCCTGTGCTGCCTGGAACTCCCCTAATTCTGGGGATGTGTGGGGAACTAACTTTTATCTTTTTAAAAGAACAAAACCAGTTTACGGACAACCTATTAAAAGTTCTGCTTTGAGCCAGAACAATTTTCGACAAAAGCTGCCCCAAATCCGGCCACATATTTCTCTTGAGGCTCTTCCCTACCCCCAGCCTCCTACCCTCGTGCTTCCCAGAGACTTAGTTCAAAATACTCTTATTTTGCTTTACTTTAGCATTTAAAACTTTCCACACTTAATTTTGATGTAAATATTTATTTTCCCCATGTGTTTCAGGTTTATACCGCGTGCCTAAAACAACATGTTTGGGTGTAGGAGCCGGTTTTACCTGCTGGAGGGGACTGAGCAGTGTTCCTAGGCCCTGGTCGCTGCTCGAGGTTATGCAGGGTCAGGGTCAGTCACCCTGTCTTTGGATGACGGTACCACCTGTAAGAACGAGGCGGAATGAGGCGGTGCAGGGTCTCCAGAAGTGCAGGTTTATTGGGAATCAGCCTGCCGGACTACCTCTGAGGAGAGAGCAGCAACCGGCTTGTACAGGCTAGGGCTTTTCAAACTCAGGGCTGCAGGGTGTCGTTCAGCGGAGGAGATGTGGTCGTCTTTGATTGGTCAGGCCTGGGGTCTCCCAAGTTCTTGATTGGTCGGGGGTTGGGGTCTCCTGAAACTTGTTTTTCTTGAGGAGCGACCATTTGCAGTTTTGGTGGGTTAGGGCGGTTCTGTCATTCTGTTCCTCCTGACTGGAGTGATGGGTTTTGGTTTTCTGGAATGAGAGGCTTAGGGAAAGCTTAAACTATAAGAGTGATGGGTTTTGGTTTCTTGGAATGAGAGGCTTAGGGCAGTAATATGGAAGTTAAGAGCTAACACCACCTGACTCAGAGCTTCTAGACATAGTTACTGAAACCTTTCAAAAATAGGGTGAAGACAGAAATGAACAAGTTCGACTTTCTGGGTGATGTCCGCCAGTCTGGCTCAGCGCTTTGCTCTCGCTGTCCATCTGCCTCATTCCTGCTCCTTCCTTCAGCTCTTCACACATCTGGGGCCTTTTTTAAAAATTCCCGACCTGATTTTTTAAAAATCCTTTTCCTCTGTTTTTTCTTACACTGAGTTTGGCAAAACACAGTTATTTGAAAAAAACACAAACAAACAAAAAACAAGGGTAGAATTGTAACTCAAATACTTGACATGAGCTGCCCTTAAAATTTATTTCTTCCAGTAAAAAGGTCAACTGAGATTCAGGCAGAAATGTAGACATGCCTGCGATCTGAAGATGTGTTTGAAGGAAGTCGGGCAGGAGCGGCGTGTTCTGCCGAAAAGCACCGGACCGACTCCTTCCCTCGGGTCTGCCCGAGCCCCGTCCCTGCACGTCCCTGCACGGGGCACTTGGGTCCCAGCCTTGCTGGGGGTTTTGATTGTTGAAAGTAATCACTAGGACGTGTCTGTGGTTTAATTGTCTGAAGCCACTTTCTGCCAAGGTCACAGTAAAGCAGCTATTTTGCCAAAGTCCACAGAGAAACCGTGGTCCTTCCCTGGGCGGAGCCGGGGCGGGGCGGGGCCGGGGCGGGGCGGGGCGGGGCGGAGGCTGCCGCTCCAGGAGCTCAACGTTTCGGTTTTGTTGTTCTGGAATAGGGTCCTGGAAACAGCTCCGCTTCTCACCCAGCCAGATGTGTGGCTTTGAGAAGAGGCCGGGCCGCACGTGCCTCGGCTGGACGGGCGCTGGCAGGACAGGCCTCTGCGCTCTCCCAGCTCTGCAGCGCTGAGGGGCCTGGGCCGCTGCCCTGCGTACCTGCAGCCTGACCTTCTGGCGGAAAGCTACTACTGGCCGTGATTTTCAACGTGCTGACCGACCTCACATCATCCTAGGCGAGGCCCGGCCTGTGTCTTGGGCACGGGTGCTTCCCTCCGAGGGGAGGCCGCGCAGCTCCTCCGGCCTTGGCTGAAGTGACCGCTCAGAGTGGGCATCGGACTGGCCGCGAGCGAGGCCACAGCACACAGCACCTACCAGTGCTCCCGCCCGGCCCCTTTCCCAGGCTCCGACGTGCTGGGGTTGGGCTTGCTGTGGAGAGAGGGCCGAGCCGCGAAAGAAGGCAGTGGGCCTGGGCTGGGGCAGCTCCGCCAAGCCAGGCTCCTGTGCCTGGGGGCCGGTGGCGGCCGGCACTCGGCGAGCCGGTCCGTGGGAGGCCACGGGAGGGAGGGGGGGAGCCCTCCAAGGACGCTTCCAGGAGGATCGCAGCTTCCACGTACTTTCATTGTCCCTGGTGGCAAGAGGCCGCCATGCGGTCTCTGGGACCGCGATTTGTTTGGTTGAGTCTGGTGGTCTGTCACTGGGGAGGTGGGAAGACAGGTGTTGGAGGAGGGAACTAGCGCGAAGGTCACAGAAACTGTATTTTTGAAGAATAAGGGCTGGCCAAGACACCCACCCTCTTAGTCTCGTCTATATTGTCTGTGAACCGGAGTGACACAGACGTGGCAAAACGAAGGAAGAACGCTCATGTCACGCTGCTCCCCGCGTCGCATCTGGGACTTCGGTCACGTATTAGGTGTGCGGGACTGGCCTCAGCTGGTGGGTGTGACTCCTGCTCTTTCATATGCTTCCAGAGAACCCCGAGTCTGGCTGAGACATGAAAGGTGGGGACATGATAAGCTAACGAGTGTCCAAAAGGCACAAAGCAGTGTGGTCAGTGCTGATGTGACCTTTTCCTAATCAAGTGGCCACATGAGCCTCAAGGTGGCGTTAGAGGTAAAGGGACAGGAATGTTATGTTTCAGAACCGTGAGGGACGGGGCTGTGTAGACACAGGAAGAGCTAGGGAGGCAGCCCCGGACAGACACCCGGCTAAGAGGAACTCACTGCCCAGCCCTGGCTCCCGGCCACTGGGGTGGAGTTCAGACTGCAGCTCTAAGGCCGGGCCTTTAACGGTCCTGACTGAGTCCCAGAGAGCAAGGGTCATTTCCTCGGTTTGACCACCCTGCCCTACAGTTGGGAACCACCTGGGTCTCCTGTGAGCCATTCAGATTAATGTCTGTTCCAGGCTCAGAGGAGAAGTCAAACGTCTTCAAGGAAATCAGGGAGGGGTGGGTAGGGATTTCTTTCCTGGATTTACTCATTACTCTCAACTTTGCAATAGAGTCACAACCAGAAACAGTGCCTGGTACTTTCTGGGGCTGGGCTTTGTGTAGGCCACGAGGGCTGTGAATAAGACCGGGCCTCTGTCCTCAAGACTGTCGCCACCCACGGGAACCAGACTGGAAACAGGCACGGGAGATGGCGTGACCGCTCCCATTTCTCACCCCTCCTGGTGTAACTCTGCACCTCCCCACCCCACTGGTGGTGGGTCTGGCCACATGACTTGCTTTGACCAGTGGAATGTGGGCAGACAAGAGCGAGCTGGTCTGGGCAGCTGAGTGTTTGCTCACGTTGCTCGCATTTCCATCACAAGAGAAGCCATCTGCCAGGGCTCTGGCCCAGGGAGGATGGGAGGCGCGTGGAGGTGACTTGGATGCCATGGGAAGCTTGGAGCCAAGCTTAACCAGCCTACACTAGGTCACCAACCTCTACCAGACCCACAGGCTTGTGAGCAAGAATGCATGATTGGTGTTTTAGGCCATTCGGTTTTGGGGTGGTTTGTTAGCGGCATGAATGCAATGCTTAACTGATACAGCAGGCAATTGTGACACAGAGTGGGAGGGATCACGGAGACACACAGGCCTCTGATCATCTGGGGACAAAGAATGTTTCACGAGCTGGTATACATTCACTTTTTGGACCCTATTTTGCGTTTCCTCTGTGATGCTCTGCACCAGTTAGTGGTGTATAGACGCCCTCAGTGTGTGTCCGCTGCATGCAAAACAGGAGTTAATCCCTAAGAACTGATCCATTAGGACTATAGGAAAAGTTCTCTGACGAAGAAAATGAGCACCTTTTGACTAGTAGTGATTCATCCACTCATTCCGTCATTCAGCACCCAGGAGGTAGGCTCTAATTGTGCATAAAATAAAGTAGACCCTTGTGCACAGAGCTACCTTTTGGAGCGAGGAGGCCTGGGGACCGTGATGCCACAGAGCACGGAGCGGGAGAGGAGGACGTGGAGCTTTGGGCAGAGGGGCCACCGCACGCGGGACGGTTACTCGCCGAGTGACATTTGAGCACAGGCCTGGGAGAGGAGGGCCGGAGCAGGCCAGGGCAGAGCGCAAGGCGCAGGGCAGGAAAGGGAGAACCTCCAGGCACAGAAGCTCCCGCCGAGGACCCGGGAGTGCTCTGGGGAGTCAGTGTTCTGTGTTCAGCTGTAGAAGAGCAACTTTTCAGATTTTGAGTTTTCTTGTTAAAAAATCTAGGCGAAAAGGTTTCTTTTATTAGGTGAAGCTTCCAGTAGCTGCCCTGGACGATCTTCAGGGGGCTCTCTCTTTGGATGTCGGTGGCTCCTGGTGACCCCTCTGCCTCCTCCCGCAGGCTGCCAAGCGCTGGGCCTGAGGCCCCCGGGCCCTGTGTCCTCTGGAAGTTGCTGGGAGCGATGCTCGTCTTGTGCCTGTGCATGGTGTGCGCCTCTGCCTCCCCCACGCAGCCCGAGGGACACAAAGGTAAGGACGGGGTCCCCCGCCGGAACGCCCTTCCAGCAGCGTGTCTGAGGAGAGGTGTTCAGCCAGGCAGCTTGTGCGTCTACCCACAAAACACGGTGTGATTGCCAGAGGGAAAGGGTGTGGGGGGGCCACGTGGGCCGAAAGAGTCAAAGGCGTGGTGACGGAAGGAAAGTAGACTTCGGGCGCTGAGCGCACACTTGAGGGTACAGATGTCAAATTACAATGTCAGACACCTGGAGTTTATATAACACCACTAAGCAGTGTCACCTCAGTAAATACAATAAAAAAGAAAGCAAATGAAATGCAAATACAGTCTCTGATGTCCCCCTGGGCCTCCGTTACTCCTGCCAAAGGAGGGAACCGAAGGAGCTGAGCTTTCGTCCTTGATAAAAGGTGCCTTTGGGTTTTAATCGCACATCCTGTCAGCACTAAGCTTTCTTGTATCTGAACTCTTCCAAGATCTACTTTAATAAAGAGTCGACAAGTAAAAAATATGGCCAAATATTTTAGTTATTATTTTTGTCACACGTGAACCCCATTTTACTTTTTCCACAAAATGTAAATCAGAACTGATAGCAAACCTAATGCTGTTGTTTGGGAGTTTTGAAGCCACATGACCAGAGGGGTCAATGGGGTGCCCAGAGTGTGGGCACGCAGTCAGGGGGAGCTGCTTTGTCGGATGTGCTCGCCAGAGGCAGCTTCAGGACACGAAGCTGACTGATGTCTCTCTGTCCCCAGTGGCCGCAGAAAACTGCCAGTATCGTGGCAAGCATTTTAAAACCAGCTTCAAGGTGGAAGGGGAACCTGTGGTTCTGAGGTGCCCCCAGGTGCGGTATTGGTTGGGGGCCTCTGCCAGGCCTCATGTCAACATGACGTGGCATAAGAACGATTCGGCTCCGGTGGCCCCAGGGAAGGACGGGCCACGAGTGTGGGTCCAGGATGGCGCTCTCTGGCTGGTGCCAGCTGTGCAGGGGGACTCGGGCACCTACATCTGCACTGTCAGGTAAGTCCCTCCGGGGCTGCTCGCGGGGTTCTTCAGTGAGGACCTGCACTGCAGAGTCGGGTGCACAGGTGACGGATGGCACCTTGGTCCTCTGCACTGTTCCTGAAGTGCCCAGAGGCCTCCTGCCCCTGCCTTGGTCCTTGTCAGATGTCACTTCTTCAGCACCGTGTGTAACAGTAGTCTTGCCACTCTCCTCACCTGGTCTTCGTCGGACGCTTGCACATGTGTGTCTAGTTCACGTCTGCCCACCTGTCAGAGTGCTGACTCCAGGAGGGTGGGGACTCGGTGGGCTCTGTCCACTGCTCAGTCCACACAAGCATGAGACGTAGGTACAGAACATGGAACAGAACCTGACCCCTGGGTGAGACAGAGACAATGCCACTGCTCACTGGGCACGTGAGGGAACCACGCTCCCCGGAGAAGTTCTCCCCCCCAGGTCGAGCCCGCTCTCTGTAATTGTGGAAACACGTGCATCACACAAAATTGCCTGCAAGAATCCGTTCACCTGTAACCACCACCACCACCCAGCTCCAGAACTCTTCACCCCCCCAAACTGAAAGTCTGGTCCCTTAAACAACAACTCATTGCCCCTCCCGAGCCCCTGGCGGCCGCCCTCCTACTTTCTATGGCTGTGACTTTGCTTCAAGTACCTTCCACGCGTGGAACCATACAGCAGTTCTCCTGGTGATGGCTTATTCCACTTAGGATACTGTTTGCAAGGTTCATTCTTGTTGTACAATGTATCAGAATTTCATTTCTTTTTAAGACAATGATATTCCATTGTCTGTAGAGACCACATTTGCTTATCTGTTTATCTATCAATGGGCACTTACATTGCTTCTGCCTTTTAGCTATTGTGAATAATTGTGTAATGGGTACACAAATATGGGTGGAATCGGCAAGTCATGTGGTAATTCCACGTTAAGTTTTTGGGAAACCATCATGCTATTTTCCACAGTGACTATACTGTTTTACATCCCCACAGCAATGTACAAGTTTCCAATTTCCACATCCTCACCAATACTTACCATTTTCAGTTGTTTTTTTGGGGGGTGGGGTATAACAGCCTTTCTGATAGATGTGAAGTATAGATGATTGTGGTTTTGATTTGCCTCTTCCTAATGACTAGCTTTGTTGAGCATCTTCCCATGTACTTTCTTTGGAGAAGTGTCTATTCAAGTCCTTTGCCCATTTTTTAATTGAGTTGTTGATTTGTTTTTGAGTAATAAGAAATATTTAAAAATTCTGGATATCACTTTCTTATCAGATATAGGATTTGCAAATACTTTCTCCTATTCCATGGTTGCCTCTTTACTCTGTTGACAATGTTCTCTGATGCACAGGAGTCTTTAAATCTGAAGAAGTTCAATCTGTCTATATTTTCTGGGTGCCTGTGCTTTTGATGTCATATCCGAGAAATCATTGCCGTATCTAATGTCATAACGCTTTCACCCTGTGTTTCCTTCTAAGAATTTTTATAGTTTTAGCTCTTCTCTTTAGTTAGGTCTTTGGCCCATTTTTAGTTAAATTCTGTGTATGGTGTAAGGCAATGGTCCAACCTCATTCTTTTGCATGTGGCTGTCCAGTTTGTCCAATGCCTTTGTTGGAAAGACTCCCTTCCCCATTGAATGGCCTTGGTCTATCTTGCTGCTTCGTGAAGGAGAAAGTACAGGTATAATGTTAGAGACCTTAAAAATTTCCTGGCTTCCTTCTTCTGAAAGCATTAGGGCTGACTGTCGGTCTGACTGGGAAGGGGAACTCCTGGCCTCCTCTCTTCAGCCGCCAGCTGCCCCCTCCCCTGGACTGCCCCCTCCCCAGGGCTGCCCCCTCCCCAGGGCTGCTCCCTCCCCAGGGCTGCCCCCTCCCCAGGGCTGTCCCCTCTCCAGGGCTGTCCCCTCCCCAGGGCTGTCCCCACTGCTCCTACCAGGCAGCATGAAGGCTCTCCAGGTTCCACAGACTCGTGTGATTGGAGGAGGAGCTATACCCATGAATACTGACATTAAGAAAGAGAAGCAAAGAAAGTGACATTCTTAGCACAAAGGAGTTCCTGGTGAATGGGAGAATTTTAGACACTATGAGCCTCAGTCTTAGATGGTGCGTGTGTGTGTGTGTGTGTGTGTGTGTGTGTGTGACGTTCTGTCAATGAACCCTGCCTGGGAAGCAGACAAGCAATTTCTTATTTTTATATCGGAAATACAAATGTGTGATTTTACAGTAGCTATAAATACACAGTTTTTGTTTCCTTTCTAGAGTAAAAAATCCTATATTTTTTTCTAAGGAGCACTAGTAGGAAAGCTTACAGGTATGTTGGAAAAAGAATAAGCTTTGGAGTCAGGATGACAGGGTTGTGAATCTGAACCCTCTCATTTTCTATCTCGGTCTGATTACTCGGCCGTTTCGGCCTCAGTTTCATCCTCTGTAAAGAGGTCCGTTGGGTGGGCTCTGGGATCACGGCATGAAGCTCGGAGTCAGGGGAGCCCGGAGCAGGTGGTCCGTAGACACAGAGAAATGCACTTTCCCCCAAAGGCAGTGCTTGCTGACTACTGAAGTGATAATTTGCAAAAATCAGGGAGACACAGGCTGAATCATGTTTGTCTTAAAGATTGTTTTTATACTTCAGTATAAAATTATAGCTAACATTCATATTTTATTTTCTATTCTTCTAGAAAAGTAGAGGTCTGGCATTGGGGGGCAGAGGACATCTGCTGGGCCAAGCTTTCTGAGCCTATGGACAGTTCCCTGAGCAGGTCTCTGAAGCTCTTTCCAGTCTGAGGCTGGGGTTCCACAGGACTGCCAATCATCAGCAGTTGCTACAATACCCTTTGGCATTTACAGCCAGAGGCCATGAAATTGCCCTGTGCCCATGACATTTATAACCCTGTGATCTAGAACCCACAGGGCCTGTCCATCGGGGTGGGGAAGGTTATGCTGCTGAATCACACAGGCGCCAAGTCTCAGCGGCTTCAAACAACAGGCGTAGTTGTCACTCGGGCAGCAAGCCTGGGTGGCTTGGCAGACACTCAGGGACCGGTCAGTCACTGCGGCAACAAAAACATGTTCCGAGGGCTCCTGCTGGTGTAGGTGACACACGGCTGGCGCGTTGACTAGTTAGGCAGCTGCACTTCCCACAGGGGGCCCAGGCAGGTGACCCCACTGTGAGCAGCACTGGTGACTCCTACCCTTTTGTTGTGGGGGTGCCACACTACATGGGGACAGGGTGATCGAATCTCCCCACCCCTCTCTATTGGGGTATTTTCATGGAGTATCTCGCTCAAGGGGAATTGCCAGATCAATAATGTGAACAGTTGGTAACTCTCAATGTGTCTAGTAAGCTTGGTTTCTGGAGATATTGTTTTAATTGGAGGGCTTTCTCAGGGCCCGACTGGGTTTCAACCTTGGTTTGACCTCTTAGTAGCTATCCAGCCTTAGGGAATGACTTAATTTCTGTATAGCTAGTTTTCCTCATTCAAAAATGAGATAACGATAGTTTTTAGCTCAAGGTGTTGGAGAATGGGTGAAATGAGGGCGCAGCCCTGGTCTGCAGGCTCGTCCAGCTGCTTGCGACTGGGCTACTCTCCGGGTTGGTGGTACTCCCCCCCCCCCCCCCCCCCCCCGCATTTCCAAGGCGATAGTTAACTTTCTGTATTTCTTTGTGCACAAAATCTTTGTTCATTTCTCAGGTAGCTTCTCAGGTAGCTAGAAACTTAGTGACATAATGATATTTTTATGTTTTTCTACTTAAAAATTAGTTTCAATTCATATCCTTTGTCTTTCCCCCTGTTTCCTCCATGTTTCTGGAAGTGAGTTGCCTGTGCTCTAGGGTGTTGATAGAATTATGATATTGAGATAGTTAGTCCAACACCCCCCCCAAATTAAAACCCAAACAAATAAACTTACCAAGTTAATTTTCCCCATGCAGTATTACAAAAATCTTTTATAGATTTTATAGTAAGTTCTCAGTAGTTCTGTGAAATTAGACTTCAGTTAATAAACAATTCCCCAGAGAAGTGAAGGGAATTTTCTTTGCACGGAGACAGTAGCTCTCGGGAAACAATTTCTTCATTTAGATACAGTTCCCTGAACCAGGAATTGTCTCAGTACCTGGCAGGGTTTGGGCCTGTCTGAAGAGGACCTGGGGATTGCTCAGTGGCCCTTGATGGTGTTGAAATCAGACTTGTGAAGGGACTTTCGGGAAATACTCAGACTATATCACCATTTCTATGTAACAATTATGATGCGGTGCTTTTTTTTGTCCCCCAAGAATTCAAAAGATCAGGGACGGAAGCATTGCCATACCCATCGAGAAAATGCAGACTTGCATGGGGCTGGGGAAATTGTTGTGGATTTCATTCAGGGTTGCTTTTATTTTGCCTTGCCATTTATTGCCCACCCCTTTTTCCTTTTAAATTAGAAACGCCTCTTACTGTGATGAAATGTCCATTGAGCTCAGGGTTTTCGAGAACACAGAAGCGTCCCTGCCTGTCGTCTCTTACCCCCAGATTCTAACCTTCGCGACCACTGGGTCCTTAGTTTGCCCTGAACTGAGTGAATTCACCACCAACAAAGCTGACATGAAGATTCAGTGGTATAAGGTACATCTTTAAAAACTGGCATTTAATTAAAATGTATTTTATTAGCCATAGCACAGATACAAAATACCCATTCTGAAGATAACACATTCACTTTTATATTTGTTTTTTAAAACCAGTTTATTAAAAAAGGGTCGTGATTAATATGTTCTATTAGTCCTTATGTGGTTTAGGTAAGGATCCTCAGAAGAGTGATTTGAAAATATGAAATAAATCCTGAGTAAACAGCTGAAAAAGATAGCATTTCACTGTCTATTAAAACTGAGAAAACAGCCCTGGCCCGTTTGGCTCAGCGGTTGGAACGTTGACCTGTGGTCCTGAGAGACCCGGGTTCGGTTCCCGCTAAGGGCACGAACCTCGGTTGCAGTTTGTCCCCGGCCCTGGTCGGTCGTGCAGGTGGCAGCCACTCGATGTGTTCCTTTCACGTTGATGTTTCTCTCTCTCTCTCTGTTCCTCTCTCTGCCTCCCACTCTACCTGAACAAAAAATGGAAAAATGTCCTCGGGTGAGGATAAAAAAAAACACAAACAAACAAAAAAAAACTGAGAAAACAGCTGTTGGTTTAACGAACAACTCTATGCACATGTCCCTGGTTAAAGGAGTGAAGAGAAGCACAATTCCTTCTCTTGCCGGTGGACTGACGCCGGCACCGGGTCTGGTTGGAGGCTGGTGTGGACACGCCGCAGCCCAGGCTCGAGCCCACGGCGAGAGCGAGGGCGCGGTGGCCGCGGGCGGAGTCCCGGACCGAGGCTGCAGGCCGGCCGCTGCTCCCCGCGTGTCGGCGGCGGGCCCAGGGCTGCAGGCCCGGAGCGTCCTGCCCGCCCTCGCAGGGCAGGCGTGGTGCCCACCGCAGCTCGGTATTGTTTCTCTCATCATTGATAGAAATGAGCCCTTTAATCAAAAAGTCAGGTCCATTTAAAAACATATATGGAAATAACACTATGTACTAACATGTTTACTGAAGCATTATTTATAAAAGAAACTGGAAACGAGACATTCACCATTAGGGATTGGTCAAAGTCATTTCCTCTCCTGGGAACGGGACTATCTCATAAGTACTTATAAAGAGGAGACGATTTTCTGTGTATTAACACAGAAGAAAAAAACAATACTGCTATAGTTAAAAGGCTTTAAATGATCTATGTTATATTTCCTAGTTAAGTAAAAACATGGTTTAATATATTTAAAAACCTGGAGGAGTAGATCTGAAATAACAAAAGGTGTTTTGAGGATAAAGAAAGATGGGCTTTCCATTGTTCATAAGTCAGTATTACTGGTCCTAGTCACAGCTTTTGAGATAAAAATTAGTATACAGTGTGACTTTGAAAAACATTTCCCCCAAGGATTCTGTCCTCTTGGATGAAGACAACGAGAAGTTCTCGAGCGTGAGGGGAACGGCTCGCCTGCTGATCCACAACGTGTCGGCGGCGGACGCGGGCTCCTACCGCTGCGCCCTGGCCTTCGGCCGCCGCGGCCGGCGCTACACCGTCACCAGGCACATCCAGCTGCGCGTCAACAGTAAGTGCGGGCTCGTCCGCGCCCCTTGGTGCCTTCGGGGTGAAAGGAGAACACAGACGTCAACTTCCTAAAACATCAGGCAAATAAGACGAGTGAGACACCTTGAAAGGTAGAAAGCCGGATGTTACTTTGAATAAAGGTGACCCCGAGGTCCAGGTGTGAGGCTGAAGCACACCACTAGAGGGGGCCAAACACTGGTTCGCTTGGGAAGTCCCGTGCCGGCGGCACCTGCAGGGCCAGGTGTCAGGACGGGCTGCTGACACCTCGTGTGGGCTCCAGCGCACCAGGTTTTCGGGTCTCAGCTAGAAGGCGATGCAGTGTACATCCAGTGAAATCGCCCCTGTCGTGTTCCCTGAGACAGGTCTAGTGGCCCTTGAAAGCAGGGTTTCAAACAGTGCGTTCTCTTATTAGTTTAAATGAGCTCTACTTGAAAAAATGTTGTGAACCCTGTGGTCAGTATTTAATATTTGTTCAACAGTAATCCACATGCCCTGCACGCTGGACATCACGCCTGCTGCCGGCGTCCAACAAGTGTTGAAGTCCTGGGCTCTGCCCTGGAGAACACACTCCCTTTCTTTATTTTATATACCGAGTAGCTACACGATTGGCGTCTTTATGGGCATTTCAGAGAGCTCTGGGAATCTACTAAGGTTAAATAATACATTGGTTTGTGAGGGAGAAAGACTAACTTGATTTTCCTCAGAGAATCCAGAGATTCAGCTTCACTGTAGGGAAAATCGTGTCTCCCATGAAATAAAATTGCTGGATGGTATTTCTTTTACTGTCTTGTGAGGATTCACGCATCTCGTGGCCCCACAGGGACACTGAGACCTCCTGGGACTTGGAGTGGACTGCGTCCTGTTCGCGTGGTACTGCGCAGGAACACTAGGGGGCGGTCAGCCTACATGTTAGCCTGTGTGTGGTCTCACTGCGGTTCTGGGAGGGCCGCAGCCTCATCACCTGGGTACTGGGTAGATGTGCAAAATCTCAGGCCCCATCGCAGACCTTCTGAAAGAGAAACAGGGGCCGGGGGAGCGAAGCAATCTGTGTTTAACAAGCCCCCGCCCCCAGGTGAAGCCACTGCCCTCAAGTCGGAGACCCACTGGTATACCAAGACCTTGAGGCTTCTTTGTGCCCTCTCTGCCCAGCGTCTGAGGGGCAGCCATGTGGCTGTGCGGGGAGGGAACAGCCCCTGGCCACAGCCGAGAAGCCACCTGCACTTGGAACGCTGCCGTGGGGCTGCTTAGTGCTTGCTCTTGTCAGAGTTCCATGGGTTCCTTGTGGAAGAAGCGAGGACAGAGCCCGTGGACCTGGAGATGGGCAGCCCTTCGTCCACACCCAAGCTGTTCTTTTTGCTCCAGTTCAGGTGCCCAGTTTCTTCAAGCTGTTGGGGAGCTGGGTTCTGATTCCTAGGAGACCCACCTTTGCCTCCCCAAAGAATTATCTCTTCAATTAATAAGTCACTGTGGCCAACCCGAGTCTCCCTATTTATCACGCAGCTTGGGATTAACATTGCACACAGTGGTCCCCAAACCCCATGCCTCTTTTTTTGCCGAATGACTCTTCAGTACCCTGTGGCAGGCACTTGGGGAGGTGAGGATGGGGTGGAGGGAGATATTTTAGGGCAAATTGACCATGGGCTAAAACCTATCCTGTGGACATTATGAAGTTTACTGGCAAGAATTTATTCATGCCTGGCTGGTGTGGCTCAGTGCTCGAGCGTTGATCCTGCACCAACAGGTCACCGGTTTGATTCCCGATCAGGGCACATGCCCAGGTCGTGGGTCTGATCCCCAGTGGGGGGGCATGCAGTAGATGGCCAGTCGATCTTCTCTCTCATCGATGTTTCCATCTCTCCCTCTGTCTCCCTCCTCTCTCTAAAGTCACTAAAGATATATATATATTTTTAAAGGAATTCATTCAGGAAGCCAGGGAGGGGAATGGTTGATTGTTCATCAGAGAATGGAGAACATCTGTGCGTGGAATGTGTGGCTTCTTCCAGTCATCTTCCTTCTGGGAAACGCACTGGCCAAGGGCACTCGGTTTGGTGGGGGGCCTGTTTCCTTGGCCAGGCAAAGGTCACACCCACAATGGCTGGCCATACTATCAAGGGTGACTTTGTTAATGAGCTAAACAATGAAGCTTGACCCTCAGCTTGAAATGAAGGCTTTCCTAATTGAATCTCTTTTCTGTACGCCTCTCTCAGGAAAACAAGAGGAGACGATCCCTGTGATTATCTCGCCGCACCAGACCATACTGGCGTCGCTGGGTAAGGCCTGCGGCCTGGAACCCCCGTGTCTGCCGGCTGCTCCTGTCCCTTTGGGTGCAGTGGCTGGAGGGGAGACCCTAGCACCCCAGCATGAGAGACTGAATAAGAAATGTGAGGGCTCAGTTCCCTGTGTCAAGTGTTGAAATGGCATTGTTTGAAACAGGTATACTTTGCTTCATGAAAACCCTACCTACAAAAATCTAAATGTAAAAAATCTGCATATTTTGGTAGCGGTCACCGACTGTGGGACGGACGGACGGACGGCAGGATTCCCTTTCAGGGCCAGCGCCGGCAGCGCAGAGAACAACCCACCTGCCCCAGACTTGGCTGAGGCTCAGCACTTCCCTAAGACTCCAGCTGTACAATGAGGCTGACCCGGCCACTGCTGGCCCCCCAGAGACCCTTTCTTGTTGCCAAAACCACTGGTCAGCTGGCGAGGGCACGGCAGTGATGGACAGGAGTGTCCCTTTTCACCGTGCCAACGGAGGCTGTCTGGGTCAGCAGCACTCGCATCCCCCTCGAACACCAGTGTGTCCAGAGTGTGCATCGTTCCTGACATAGACCCTGCGGAAAGGTCTTATTTTCCCCATTTCCAGAAGGAAAAGCTGCCCGGGGGTCACAGGGGCTCAAGAATGGCTAGAAAGTGACACTCGGGTCTGGCTGGGGTTGGACGCAGGCCTTGTGTCTGTGAAGCCTGTACCTTTCTGTGTGTTTGTGTAACAGTTCTGTAGGGTTATGCCCACGTATTAGACCCTGCTGCCGAGTCCTGTCCCCCCAACGCTGTGTCTCTCACTTCTGTCTGGAGGTGCTGGGCTAGTATTTTACACCGCAGTCGGTAGCCATGGAGAACTCAGTGCTGTTTCCTGGCCTCGCCTGGACGTGGCGGCGTCACACGGCAGGAAGGAAGGGGCTGCTTCTGGCTGAGAAACTGGCAGGTCACCAGGGTGGTGAAGGAGGGAGAAGGGCTGGCACAGCACCCGTGAGGAAGAACGAACGGGAAGGATTTGTTCACCCCCTTCGGTAACCTAAACAACGTAACTTCCAGGGACTGAGGCTCCCGGGACGTCCCACTGCACAGGGCACCACGCATGTGACACACAGAGGCTTCTGGAAGGGTTAGTGCCAAGGGAACGTGCCCTGGGGACGGACACGAGAGTGGAGACCAGCATGAGCACAGAGAAAGCATCCGCATGCTCATCGGGGTTTGGGGACAAGCAGAGTCGGTTGTCGAAGGAGCAGCCCTTGAGCTCAGGGCGCCCTGCAGAGCCGAGCCGGCTTCGGAAGCCGCTCGCCTCTGGGTTTATCTGCCGCGGTGACCGTGGAAGGGACTGGAGCCGTTTGGCCGTTACTGATGCTCTGTGAACGGACTCTTCTGAGGGAACTAAGTTTCCTTCTATGAAAAGAATTAGCTGGCGAAGGGTGTTTGAGGAGACAGGGAAGGGTCCCCCACTCAGCTCTGCTGATGGCCGAGGAGCTGGGCTACCCCTGTGTCCAGCGGGTTCTGACGTGCGTGTCCTGTCTTGCTGTCCGCAGGGTCGACACTGGCAATCCCGTGCAAGGTGTTTCTGGGAGCCGGCACACACTCGACCACCATGCTGTGGTGGATGGCCAACAACACCAGCGTAGACAGTGCCTACCAGGACGGCCGCGTGAGGGAGGGGCAGCGCCTGTAAGTGCGTGAAGGTGTTGTCAGCTTAGGGCGTCTTCTGGGCAGAGCTGTGGTGAGACCTCCATAGCTTTACTCGTTTTTTATTTTTATTTATTTTTTATTATTTTTTTTTATCCTCACCCGAGGACATTTTTCCATTTTTTGTTCAGATAGAGTGGGAGGGAGAGAGAGGAAAAGAGAGAGGGGGGGAAACATCGACGTGAAAGGGACACATCGAGTGGCTGCCACCCGCACGACCAACCAGGGCCGGGGACAAACTGCAACCAAGGTACGTGCCCTTAGCGGGAACCGAACCCGGGTCTCTCCGGACCACAGGTGGACGCTCTAACCGCTGAGCCAAACCGGCCAGGGCGCTTTACTCAGTTTTTAAAGAGACAATGTCATATCCAACCGCTCAATATGACACACAGACCATATTCAAAATAATTTTTCCTGTTCTAAATTGATGGATTTTTAGAATTTTAAAAATTGAGTTTTGCTCAGAATTCCCATTTGTTCTTGAGAAACACGCTGTCTGTGTAAGAGCTGAGTTGCAGCCAAGTGCTTGTCACTGAGTCGCATTTTCTAGCCGTGTAATCGAATATTTATTCCTTGACGTTTGCAATTAAACACACTTTGGAGTTAATATATTTCCATTCCCCATCTGCAACCCGAGTGTCAGACATTTTCCTAAACCTCTGAAAAGATGGGACACTTAGCCGCAGTATCTGGAGGCCTTCTGTTTCTCGGGGCGCTCGGGCGGCCACAGTGTCTAAGGAAGTACACGCTAGGAAGGAGGCCCACTGTCATGAGCGTTCGGAGAGGCCCCTCACTCGGAGTGCAGAGCAGTCAGGCGTCAACACGAACCACCTGTGTCGGGGGGACACCATGCAGTGTTCTAAATGACAAAGTACAGATTTTAAAAGTTATGGTGTCAATACTCTGAATTAGCCTGAACTTTGGCTTGCAAGTTTTTTTACTTTTTTTGAAAGACTTACCAAAAAGGATCTTTCTGGTTGCACTGAGTGCATAGAAGTTGTGTGCGGGCAGCTCAGTGGCTTCTTGCAGGCCCTACTGAGGGACAAGCCTGCCCATGTCAGCTCAGTCTCACTGTGCATTTACTGAGGGCGTCCGTCCCCCCCGAGGATGGAGACAAACGTCCTGAGGACCTGCATCAGCAGCAGCTCACCTCCAGGAGGACACAGCCCTCGGACTCCTGGAGCACTTGATGCTTGATGCGGTCGGGCCCCGCTCTGAACCCCAGTTCCCAGTGAGAGCAGCTGTGGGATGGGGGGGTGGGGACGCTGTTGAAAACTGGATCCTGGAACACCCTGCCCTTCTCTATGCAAATGATTTGTTGCTAATACAGTCAAGTTTCTCAAGATGAGACATTTCTATTCCCATTACTGCTTCTTTCTTCATGGAGGGCCTTAGAAAAAGAAATTTTCCACTGATCAAAGTAGCTGGCGCCTGTAGGTTCTCCTTGTAACCAGTGGCCTGTTACAGTGACCGGCTCCACAGGCTTAGAGCTTCTCCCAAATGCCTAACAGCCAGAAGGGCCGTGCTCCTGACTGTCTGAATCTTGAGACCAATGGAAGAACCCTGGGTCCTTCTTGCTGAGGATGTTCAGGTGTCTGCCTTACAGGTGAGCTCCCACCTGGCACACCTTGTTGAAATAAATGTTTTCTCACTCAGGGAATACTCAGAAAATAATGAGAACTACATTGAAGTGCCGTTGATTTTTGATCCAGTCATAAGAAAGGATTTAACCACTGATTTTAAATGTGTTGTTCACAATACGCTGAGCTTTCAGATGCTGCATACCACAGTCAAAGAAGGTACGTATTTTGGGGCCCAAGCCTGTAGGATGTTCTGCGGCTGCTGGACACGGCTGCCCTTCCCCAGAATCAGGGAGCAAGTCCCTCCCACTTCCTGTAGCAGAGCAGTGAGGATAAAACTCTAATGTTTTATGAGTTTTTTTTGTAGGGTGGAGGCTGGCTTTGGGACATTATATTCAAATAAAAATGTAATTAGCAAGCAGGTTTTTGGAAAAGAGAAAATGGTTCTGCGGTAGACTCCAAGCAGCGCCGTGGCCTCCTGCGGTCCCTCCCGGCGCAGCAGGGCCAGCTGTCCCCACGGCCTCCTGAGAAGGGAGGACGGCCTTTATCTGAGCTGAGAAACTTGATCTTCCAAGAGCCGGGGATGGGTGGATACTCAGGGCTCGAGCACCTTTAGGTTTAACGTCATCAGTCAACAGGAAATAAAGTGAAAGACAAATCAATCCAGAGCCCCCATAAGAACATTTAAAAAGAAGAAGGAAAAAACCCACACCACCATTCTGACCCATGGGCTGAGCTTCAGCGCGGAGCAGGAAGGGAGGCAGGTAGCGTGTCTGGCAGCCCCAGAAGACGGCCAGGGCAAGCGCGTCAGCCCCAGCTGCAGCCGCGTCGCGCCCCTGGGCAGTCTGCAGTGGTCCTGGAAGGCACACGCTCCAGTCTCCGTGATTGCTGGGGGCAGCTGCAGACAGACTTCCATTTGGAAAGCTGAGGGCTTGGTTAAGTCTTAGGACAGAGTAGGGCAGCTCAACACAATTTTCTCTAAAAAAGAAACACCTGTGTGTCACCAACACCCTGCATTGGAGCCGCTCACTGGAAACGCAGGTCCCTGGGCTCGTCCCAGAGCCCACCTGGCGTGTGACCGCAGCCGAGCGGGCTCCTTTGTATTCGTCGGGGCACCGTTCTGCTCGGACACGTGTGTGAAGGCCGATGTTTCAGACCATTCCCACCAAAGGGCTGGTGGTAGTTTAGACTTGGAAAAGGAGGACTCCCAGAATCCACTGGTGGTGTTCAGACTAGTGACCCCAAGGAAACGGTGGAGGTCTGGTCCTGATGCTGGGTGCCTTTCCACGTTTCTGGGACGGGAGCCATGTCCTAGTGCTGGGCTGGCCGTGCCTGACCGCGGAGGACACACAGGTGCATTCGCAGAGCTGCTCAGAAAGTGGAAACATCCCTCATTTAAAGCCTCATGGGATTTTAGGGTATAAGACTCGCTTGGAGAAAATGGTCTGAAGTGGTGTTGGTTTCTGGGTGCCTAGACAGACCATGATGAACAGTGGCTTCAGCATGTGGGATTCTGGTCTCATCATCAATGTGTCTAATGACACTCATGTTCTTGTGTTTACTTGTTAACTTTTTATTCATAGTCTCCTCCTCTGTTTTCATGACATGGAAAAGGCAAGGAGTAGACAGAATAGCCAAGCAATAACCTTGACACCTAAAACGTCTGTTTTTAAAGTTTGTTTCTTTCTTTTGTAACTTTACTGAATCCTCATGACACCCATGCTCATGGGAAAAGGGCAGATTTCATCCTGGCTCTGCCACAGTTGGCTGGCCGAGACCTGACCAGACCACGCTGCCTGGGCGCTAGAGAGGGCGGAGCAAGGTCAGACCCTTGGCACCTCCCCTCCCTCTGCCTTGTTTCTCCCCAATGACGGGCTGTTCTGCTGGTTCCGGGAGGCCACCGTGCGGCTCTGCAATGTGGCTGACCCTGGTGGCAGGGACCTGCCTTCTGAAACAGCTCACATGCTGGGACCCACGAGGGACCCACGCCCTCCTCTGGCCCCCTCCCCCGCCCTGCTGCACTGCTCCACTGGGGACAGAGCCTTTGACCAATTTGCCTCTTCTTCTGCAGCTGCCTCGTTCTCCTGGGGGATCGCGCTGGCCCCCCTCTCGCTGCTCGTCTTGGTGTTGGGGGGAATATGGATGCATAGACGGTATAAACACAGGACTGGAAAAGCATATGGTCTGACTGCATTAAGGACTGGCCATCAAGATTTTCAATCCTATCCAAGTAAAATAAAGGAAATAAAATAATTCAAACGCAAATGATATTCTTACTTATGAAAGAGGCTCTGCCTCTTCGAAGGACCCTGCCTTTTCCTTATTTGTTTAACAAAGCTACTGTGTTTCCGGTGGGTTTGTAGAAAAAGACTGAAGTTTAAAGTAAGGTTTATTCTAATGGAAGGACGGAAGTGAGCTGGGTTGGTGAGTTACTCCCTGACGTGTGTGACTGTCTAAAAAAGCGGGGTGCCCGAGACCCGAAGAGGTAAACATCTATGAGTTTGAAATTCACTCAGTCACTATTTAACAAAAGTGTATTAAACATCTATTTTCGCTCTGCTCTGTGGGCGCTGTTATAGATACCCAGATAGTTAAGCCATAGTTTGCCTCTTTGGGAAGAAGGAATTTATTTTGAGACTTGGAAGGATGGTTTAGAAATGCCAAAGCACACACTGTTGAATTTTTTCAAAAAGATAATCCAAAAGATAGCAATTAAAATAGAGCAGACTGTCAGAAAAATGCAAGTTATAACATATTAGTGAACTGAGAAACAGACACAACCTCAAACAGCGTCTGAAATAAAGAGACAGGAAGGGGTATTGAGATAATTGCACACACATTTGGAAAATAATCAGAGCCTCTTACATCATATACCGAAACATTTCCAATTAGATTATTTCATCTTTTTTTTTAAGTCCTCACCTGAGGATATGTAATTGTTGATTTTTTAGAAAGAGAAGAGGAGAGAGACAGAGAGACAGAGAGAAAGAGAAACATCAATTGGTTGTACCCTGATCGGAGATTGAACACGCAACCTTTTGGTGTATGGCACAACTGAGCCACCAGGCAAGGCTAATCAGATTATCTAAACAAATGAAATTGCAGGGAAATTAGCATGACTTACTCCATCACCCATTCAAGTCATTGTTCCAATGTGACCTTCTCAGAGGTCCTTCTAAATAGCACCTCGTTACCTCCTACCTGCTCCTCACACTGCTTTATACATTATACCTCTCGTCACCACCGACCGTCCACTGTGTATTTGCCTAACTTCTACCTGCACCCCCTCTGGAATGGGAGCGCCACGAGGGCAGGGTCTTTCGGCCACGCGGTAACCCCGATACCTGAGTGGTGCCCACCGCACCCTGGGCACGTGATTAGTATTTGTAGAGCAGATGAAACCAGGATGCACCTCTTCTGTTCACTACCAATAGAATCACCAGAGTAAAGATCAACAGGCTTGATGATGTTACAATTCCTGCATGAGAAAATAATAAAAGCAAAATGTAAAGGAAATTGTCAGTCAAATGCAAGGAATTAAAACTATAGCATATAGAGTTATTTACACTTTAAAGAAAAGTATCCTAATCCTAATAGTGAAAGAACACGAGTGAGAAATTTGCAGGAGAGACACACATAAAAGAGCCATGGCCCAGCCGGTGTGGTTCAGTGGTTAGAGCATCATCCTGTACACTGGAAGGTCAAGGGTTCGATTCCTGGTCCGGGCACATACCTGGTTGCAGGTTTGATCCCTAGCCCCAGTTGGGGTGCCTTCCGGAGGCAACTAATCAATGTCTCTCTCTCTCTTTCCCTCTCTCCCTTCCTCCCTTCCTGCCTTCCTCCCTCCCTTCCACTCTCTTGGAAATCAATGGATAAGTATCCTCAGGTGAGGATTAAAAAAATAAATAGCCCTGGCCGGGTTTGCTCAGCGGTTAGAGCTTCGGTCTGAGGTCCAGGGAGACCTGGGTTCAGTTCCCGCTAAGGGCACGTACCTCGGTTGCAGTTTGTCCCCGGCCCTGGATGGGTTGTGCAGGTGGCAACCACTCGATGTGTCCCTTTCACGTCGATGTTTCTCTCTCTCTCTTCCTCTCTCTCCCTCCCACTCGATCTGAACAAAAAATGGAAAAATGTCCTCGGGTGAGGATTAAATAAATAAATAAATAAATAAATAAGAGAGCCATGGAAAATGATCTGTTTCAATAATAACCAGAGATGTAAATTAAAGCAACATTGAGATGCTGAAGCACTCACATACTATCAAGTTTTAAAAAGTGTTATCAAGGTTATTTCAAAACAGTCTTTCTCTCATCATGTACTCCCATTTATAATTTGATACTGGGAAGTTATTCAAAGCAACCTGTTCCAAGCCAGTGGGGTACTGGGCCCAGCTTGCACCTTCTTGCAAGAGCCAAGTGTGGCTGGTATTTCTTCTCGAATCTGTTCAGGGATAGGAGGTTGGCAGCTTAAAACTGGCCGAGGTGGGAGTGCTTACACCATCGAAATTGGCAAATACCCGAGTCAGTTCTCCCCTCCCCACACGCCACTACAGGGGTCATAGAGAAGCCCAGTAATGCCACTTGTGGAAATTAATTTTAGGAAATAATTCAATAAAGAAAATAATTAGATATATGAAATAATTCAGTGAAACATATTACCCTGATGATGAAAAATTATGCATCAATGATACATTATAATTATCAAGAATGTGACACCAAAATAGTTGTAATGTTAAGGAAAAAAATCTATATTGTGGAAGACCCACTCCTTCCCAATCTCGCCCCCCTCCTGCCTTCTCCACACTATTGCTTTGTCCATTGGTTATGCATATATCCAGAGAAGTTCTTTGGTTTATCTCTTCCCGCCCTCCCTACTCCCTTCTCTTTGAGGTTCATCAATCTAACAATCAATTGTACTTCCTAATTCCTTCATCTCTTTAACCCATCCTCCCAGCCCCCGCCCATCTGATAAGCAACAAAAAGTTCTCTGTATCTATGAGTCTGTTTCTGTTCTGCTTGCTCATTTTGTTTGTAGATTCAATTGTTGATAGATTTGTATTCATTGCCATTTTATTGTTTATATTTTTGTTCTTCTCATTCTAGAAGACCCTTCAACATTTCATATAATACTGGTTTGGTGGTGATGAAGTCCTTTAGCTTTTTTTTTTGTCAGGGAAACTTGATATGTCCATCGATTCTAAATGATAGTTTTGCAGGATAGAGTAATCTTGGCTATAGTTGGTTGGTTTTCATCACTTTGAACATCTCTTACCACTCCTTTCTGGTCTGCAAAGTTTCTTTGAGAAATCAGCTGACAGTCTTATGGGAGCTCCCTTGTAGGTAACTAACTGCTTTTCTCTTGCTGCTTTTATAATTCTCACTTTGTCTTCAACCTTTGGCATTTTGATGATGATGTGTCTTGGTGTGGGCCTCTTCAGGTTCATCTTGTTTGGGACTCTTTGTGCTTCCTGGACTTGTATGTCTGTTTCCTTCACCAAGTTAACAAGTGTTCTGTCATTAGTGTTTCAAATAGGTTTTCAATTTCTTGCTCTGTCTCTTCTCCTTTTTTTTTTTTTCTGTTCTGATTGGGTGCATTTTGCTTCCTTATATTCTAAATCGATGGTTTGATTCTTGGCTTCACCTACTCTACAATTGATTCCCTGTAAATTATTCTTTATTTCAGTTAGTGCATCCTTCATTTCTGACTGGTCTTTTTTTATATTGTTGATGTTCTCACTAAGTCCCTTGGAGTTCTCCTTAAGTTACTTGAAGATCTCACTAAGTTCCCTGAGCATACTTATAACCAGTGTTTTGAACTCTGCGTCTGATTGATTGCTTATCTCCATTTTGTTTAGTTCTTTTCCTGGAATTTTGTTCTGTTCTTTCACTTGGGACATGTTTCTTTGTCTTCTCATTTTGGCTGCTTCCTGTGTTTGTTTCTATGTATTAGGTAGAGTTGCTATGCCTCCTAGGCTTTGTAGGGTGGCCTATTGTTGTAGGTATCCCGTAGGATCCAGTGGTCCAGCCTCCATGATCACCCCTGCTGGGCCCTCAAGGTGCACCCCTAGTGTGGACTGTACACCTGTCTCTTGTAATTGGGTATTGATTGCTATTGGCACATCAATGGGAGGGATTTACTCAGGCTGATGGGCTGCAAGGACTGGCTGTGCCCACTGACCACTGGCCTCTGACTACCTTGGAGGATCAGCTGTGTAGGGGTCCACCACACAGAGCAAGACTTACTTCATCAGGGTTCTGGTACCCACTGAGTCTACTCCTTGGGTGTGTCACTTGTGGAGGTGGTTGGGTGGTGATGTTTTGATGTGGTCTGAAGCTGTCCACTGGGTGTGCTGGCTCTGGGGCAAGGTCAGCCACTGCCTGTGTTCTACCCGGGACCACCAGGCATAAGCTACAAAATGATCTGCCAGTGGCTACTTCTCTTGCTGGGCTTGGAGGTGCCCAGGCAAAGCCAAGTTGTGAACCAAGGCTGGCTACTTCTAGTGCCTGGCCTGGGGCCACTTAATGAGAGGTATAGGGCTTGCTGAGACCAGATGCTGCTTGTTTGAGAGATTTTAGAAAACTCTGAAGCAGGTTCCAAGACAGGCCAATCCTATGGTTAAGGCTCTGGAAACAGCTTGGGTGGGCCTGAAGGCTGGGTGTGGGGGGGCCTCAGGGAATCACTAGGGCAGGGCAAACTGTGTGAGCCAGGCTGCTGGAGTCCCAGACATGGCAGCTGTCTGCCTGCCCCAGCGAAGGGCTCACCAAAGGAACAACGGTCTGTCCAGGAGAAATCTGCCCTTCAGCTCTTGACCTGATGCTGAACAAGTCAGTTCTTTCTCATATGTCTCTGGTGCCTTTCAAGGTGCCTCCCCCATGCTGGAGCCCAGAGGGAGCGAGATGGAGTAAGTCCATGCGTGGGCCCTTTAAGAGGAGCTGCCTGGGGCTCCAACAGCCGCAGCCTCCCTGAGCCTCAGTTCCTGCTGGTTTTCCAGCCAGAAGTGATGAGGATTCTTTTCTTGGCACTGGAACCCTGAGCTGAGTGCCTGGTGTGGAACAGGGACCCCTCAGTCCTCAGGGAGGACCTTCCCAGCTGAGGTGTCCTCTGATTTTTATCTGCCACACGTGGGTGTGGGACCAGCCCGTCCGCCTCCGCCCTCCTACCAGTCTTGGTGTGGCTGCTTTAATTCCATAGTTGTGGACTTCCCTTCAGCTCAACATCAGGCGGTTCTGAATGATGGCTGTGCTGTAGTTTAGTTG